AGACCTTTCCCTGAGCTGTTTCTGAATACATAACAATAGATGAACTCATTGTCCAAAAGACTCCGTAGAGATGCTTCTTCCTGCAGAAAGAAAAGGAAATTGCTGCATGTATAAACTAATCTTCAAAGTTATCAAGAGATTATGATGTCAGATGGTATAAGAGAATATCCTGATATGTAAGTTTTGCACTCTCAGAGACCCAAGCTGTTAAAAGGGGAAAAAAGTTAAGTCAAAGTAGCAGGGTATAAAATTGTTTATATGAAGTATTGGAACATGAGGTGCTGCAGTTTGATGTGACTTTGGCCTTGTGGTGCTGCTGAGAGGTCAGACGGCATCCTTCCTGCCCCCAGCACATACCTACCTGCACACTTCTGGGAGGGGCTATAGGTCAAGAGCAGGGGTTGGCAAACTGGTTCGTGAGCCCACTGCCTGTTTTTATAAATCACATTTTTACTAGAACACAGCCATGTCCTTTCATTTATATACTGTTTGTAGCTGCCTTTGTACTATGACAGCACAATGGCCCACAAAGTCTAAAATATTTACTCTTTGGTCCTTTACAGAAAAAGTTTGCTGACCCTTGGTCTAGAGTATCTGTACTGTATCTTCCTCATTCCATCCTCCATCACCTTTTGATTGTAGAAGTGAGATATGGCATGGGGGGCGGGGGCAAGCCAGCTAAGCAGAGCCAGGCAGAAGCAGGCTACAAACACAAGCAATTTGTAGGAACATTTTGTGTCCTACTTGGTGTGGAGCTAAACTGGAACTGTATTTTCTGCCAGTGTACCTTGGCAGTGACCTTATACAAGTCACACTTCTCTATATTTGCTTCTTTATTTTTAAAATGAGATTAAATAAATCTTCCAGTGTACTTTATACGTTTGTCATGAGGGTAAAACGTGATGAATTTTATGTGAATATTTTTTAAAGATGCTACCCAAATTTAGGATGATGTTATTACTATTAAAAAAATAAACAGAACAGAGAGAATTTGATTCCTACTTCTCTGAGGGATAAACAGTATTTTGCTTCTCTATTTTGGTGAACACCTATGTCAGAAGAGCTGATGGTTAATTCCAAATATCATAGTGCTCGCTTCGGCAGCACATACACTAAAATTCCAAAAATCATAATTAGTTATTAGTGATGACCTAGTGACCATGTTTTTCAAACTTGCCTGTATAACAACTATATTTGTTAAGCTCTATGGGTTTTTATTATTATTATTATTACCCTTATGAACTGAGTGGTAAAAGCAAATGGTGTGCATGTCTCTTATCCTATATTAAACTTAATGGAAAGGGCATGTTGCTGTGAACAAATGGGGAGTGTATTTGTTTCCTCTAATCATGAATAATTAATTTTCTGTTAAAATACTGAAGCCTACAATTTTGGTAAAGCCAAAAGTTTTATGCTGAGCATTGCCACATTTTATAGTGTAAAAGTCGGCTTTCAGTCTAGGCAGAATCTTTTGCTTTGCTCAGATTAAAGTCTTTATTTTTAGAAATGGAACCTAGTCAGACTTTGAGGTGGCATAATGAGAAACCAGGAAAGATTGAGAGGAGTCACTAACTCTAGGGGAAAGTCTCAGAGGAAGTGATTTAAAAATGAAGGTTTTGGGTTTTGTTTTGTTTTTGTTTTTTCTAAAGAATTTATTATTTGGGGGAGAGAGAACGAGCATGGGGGGGGGGCAGAAGAAGAGGGAGAGAGAGAGAAGCAGACTTCCTGCCGAGCAGGAGCCCGCCCGATGCGAGCAGGAAGCCCAATGCGGGGCTCAATCCCAGGACCTGGGATCATGACCTGAGCTGAAGGCAGATGCTTAAACTGACTGAACCACCCAGGCACCCCAAAAAGGAAGGTTTTGGAAAGGACTGGACAAGAGATCATGATTGTAGCATTAGCTTTATGATGTTTTATTTGGACTGTGTACACACATACAGTAGTAGTTAGCTGGCCATACAGCCATGTAGTAGATAAGTCTTCTTCCTACACTTGCAGTAGGAAGTGATAGGCAGAAGCTAGGAGTTAGAAGTGTCAGGAACCATGAGTGAGGAGGCATGGCAGGACTCAGGTCCTGCTGGTAGGTAGAGGGCTTGTTTTAACATAAAGCCAGGGGTTACTTATATCAGCCTCTTGGACACTATAACTGACTTAAAAGTAAATTAAATACTTGCAGGTAGGTATGTGCTGGGGGCAGGAAGGGTGCCCTCTGACTGGCTGACCTCTCAGCAGCACCACAAGGCCAAACTCATGTCAAACTGCAGCACCTCCTGTTCCAATAGTTCATACAAACAATTTTATACCCTGCTACTTTGACTTAATCTTTTTTCTCTTTTACCAGCTTTGGGTCTCTGAGAGTGTAAAACTTAGATATCAGGATATTTTCTTATACCATCTAACATGATAATCTCTTGGTAACTAAAAATTAGTTTATACATGCAGCAATTAAACAGTTGGACAAAGAACAGGCTTAGTTTATACAAAGGTAATGAGCATGAGGAAATGTTTAACTATTAAAAATCAATAGTTTATGTGATTAGAAAATATTTCTGTACAGATATGAACTTTTAAATGCCACTGCTTAATGCTTCCCGGTTACAGTAAAACTGACATATTTCCACACTGCAGTGTATATTGATACAGCTCCTTGGAAAACAATTGGTCCTAAATATCAAAGCCATAAAATTGTTCATACTTTTGACTCAGTAATCCATTACTGAAATTTTATCCTTAGAAAAAGAAGATTTGAATTTATGAAAATGTTTGTTGAAGTGTTCGTGATAATACTGAAAACTAGGATTGTTTAAGTTGAAGAATGGATAAATAGGGGCACCTGGGTGGCTCAGCTGTTGAGTGTCTGCCTTTGGGTCAGGTCATGATCCCGGTGTCCTGGGATCGAGCCCCATGTCTGGCTCCCCGGTCAGTGGGGAGTCTGCTTCTCCCTCTGTCCCTGGCCCTGCTTGTGCTCTCTCACTCTCTATCTTTCCCTCTCTCTCAAATAAATAAAATCTTAAAAAAAAAAAAAAAAGAATGGATAAATAGAATATGTTCTGTTATAAAAAGAACACTGAATTATCTGAACACTCCCATCACTGACATGTAAAATACACTCATGGGCATTTAGCAATGAAAATACTTGACTTAGGTTGCTGAGGTTATGAGTGATTCATTGTTCTATCTTAAAAATGGACTTTGATATTATTATAACTTTGTATCTTAAACATAAACAATAAGGGCATGTGAATCATTTGTTCTTTGAATGGACAGGGTTTGCTGCCAAGCCTGGCTTTTAACTGATGATTGTTATTTTTAGACATTCCTCTTGGGAAGTTGTGCTTCTGACAGGAATATAGTACTATATGATATGAGGCAATCTACTCCCCTGAAAAAGGTGAGTTTCAAGTACAATTGTTCATGCATTCCTCTATGAAGTGAGTGACAAAAAAATATGGAGCAAATGTTTTTTTCAGAATTAAATATTTTCACAGGCTTGTTCTTAGAAGCCAAAGTGATTATAATGGCATTCTCTCATCTCATTGTTGCTTTTTCGAGACCCTTAAATCTTCACTAAGTTCTATATCCTAGTCAACTGCTATCTTCCATAATGCCAGTAAATTTTAGGCACCAAAATTGGTACTTACTGAGCTCAGAGTTCTTAAGTATTGCATCCCATTACTTCACACCCCATGGTTTTCAAAAGACACATACAGTATTCTGTTGTAGAATGTTTTGTAATGATTCCCATAACCAGCTTTGTTTAATTACATGCTAATGGATACTGTTGTTGCCGTTTTGTTTAGATAGGCACTATCTTGTTCAAGGTGACACATCTCCCAGCAGTTTTAAGGCAGTCATTCCAGGACTCAGATACCAAAACTGAAACAACCTTAAGCTGACTCTCAAGAGGGACAGATGTATTGTCAGTAAAGAGAGGAGTGCCCCTGTAAGTGAAAGGGTATAAAGTTGATTTCAAGTGCTCCAACTCAGAGTGCAGAAGGGCCTGGACACCACTCATGTGCCACAAGTCCATTGTGATAGTCCACATGTGAAAGAAATGCTTTTAACATTTTTGTTGTTTCTAAACCATTTTTACTACATGTGGTAAATTCGAAAATATTAGAAGCAGAGTATATTCATTGAGGTTTGAACTACATAAAAATGATGATCTTTCCAAAGTACCATTTTAATCATTTTACTTATTCACATGGTATAGTGGGCAAATCTTGCATGAACTTCGGTGTTAGACCTTAAGCAGGCAACTTAATCTGTGTTTCTCCTGTAAAATGATACTAATAATTACTTTCCAGCACATTGGTGAGAATAAAACATGATATTTTAACCACTTAGCCGAATGCTAAGATGAAACCTAGCTCAATAAATAGTAGTTTCTGCCCCCTCTGCCCTTATATTTTCTGTTTTGAATGGTGCTCCATTACTTTTAGTTGAAGAAAAAAACTACAGCCTGGCTTTCAAGGCCTTCCAGATCTGGTCCCAGTTTGCATTCCATTGACACATTTGTTTCAGTCAGTAAGACAAAATTTAAATAGGGTTTGTCATATGCGAGTCGCCTTGATGGAGGTAGAGATACTATTTTCTCTCATTTCTTTATTCTATATAGTAGGCTGTCATTGTGTCTTCTATCTTTTCTCTCCTACACTTATTCTCAACAAGGGGTATATTTTTAGAAATGTGGGAGAGACATTTTAGAGACTAGCCTTTAGTGGACATGTGCCTGAGAGGCTAAACATCTATAGTGGACAGTTACACAAAACAAAAGATTATTCTACTCAAAATGCCAGTAGTGTTCTTGCTGAGAACACTAATATGCTGGTCCTTCCCAGGTCAGCTCAAATCATGCTTGTCTTTTTTGAAACCTTTCTTCTCTTCTTTAACCCTAAAATCACTGTTAATTTTGCCCCCAATTTGATACTTAATCATTTACTGTTTGTTTGTATTTTAACTTTTCTTACATATATCTCATTTTTCTCACTAAACTGTAAGTTATTCGTGGTTGAAGGACCATTTATTAAGCATTTTTGTACTTTTCAGTATTTACTATTTAGCCTGTGTACTCTGGAAACAATGATTGATTGATTTCTTTTCCTGTTGCACCGAACTGAGTACTTTGCACATAACAGGTGTTTACTAAATATTTGCTTAAATCAATTAAGAAAAAAGGAAAGGAAATGAAGTGGGAGACTTACCCATTTGAGAGGGAATTGATTTCATGGTAATGGGTTAGTGTATTCTTCCTTTCTCAGGTCATCTTAGATATGAGAACAAATACAATTTGTTGGAACCCTATGGAAGCTTTCATTTTTACTGCAGCAAATGAAGATTACAAGTAAGTTTTCTTCTTTTTAAAACTTACTTGTTTCTGTGTGAAGTGGCTCAGTTGTATAAATCTTACTAATATGTTTTCGTAGGTAATAGTCCTTCAAATATTAGAAAATTGTCACTTGTTTTGCTAAAGTAAATGTATTTCCCAAATTGGAGAAGAGCTTCTTAGAAAAATATTCTCAGTTTTCAAAGTGATATAGACCAGAGACAGTAATCTACAACCCATGGACCAAATCCTATCTGCTGCCTGTTTTTGTACATAGTTATTGGAATATAATGATACACATTTATATGTTGAATATGGCTGCTTTTGTGCTATCATGCCTGAGTTGAGTGGTTGCAACAGAGACCACATGGCCCACAAAGCTAAAAACTATTTATTATGTGGCCCTTCACAGAAAAAGTTGGCTGATCTCTGTACCATATAAATAATGACTGAACCATACATGTTTTAATAGAAACTAAAAATATTTGCCTACCAAATGTGTAGTTCTTCACATAGCTGATATTCATATAGTCATGTTATCAGCATCACTATTAACTTCAGTAAGACAAAAGGAAAAATAAAGTTTCAGTTTTTACCTTAATGTTTATAGACTCCGTGCAAAGTGACTTACTTAGCAGCCTTACATTTTTGACCTAGATGGAATTTTATGATCCCTTATATATTGTCTTAAAACTTGTTGAGGCATTTCACATTGGCTGTCTTATTTTATCTTCTCAGTATCCCTGTAAGGTAGATAGGAGGACATGTATGTTATCCCCTTTTTAGACATGAGGGTGTTAAAGCTGGGAGTTTAATCCCCTAGGGAGGAAAGAGTGTCTTACCTTTTCTTTAATCCAAAGCATTTGTTGTAGTACAATGCATATGGTAGGTTCTTAATACATGTTTTTTTGAGAAGGTGAAAGTTTGTCACTGGATTGAACTTTAGATCTTCAGCATTTAAATTCTTTGTTCTTTCCACTGTCATTATTTATGAAAACATAAATTAGCTCAGATATAGGATTTATTACATGATGTTTTAGTGGTACCAACTAAAAACATCTGTTATGACTTTCTTTACTTATGCTCAGTTGGATTCTCATTAGGTGGTAATATCCAACCAAATTAGTTGAAGGCCTTTAAGTCTTTATGAACGGTTAGAAATTAAATGGCCTTATTCCAGTTAAAGGTAATAAAATAGTGTTTTGCTGACCAACCTTATTAAGGTTTCTAAAGTTTGTTCTAATTAGCTCTTTTGGCAAGATACCTTTTTACAGAGTATCTCTGGGATTTCTCAGTTCTTGCCTTGGGAAGAATTTCATATGACACCTGAAACAAAAAGCACATCCCTTATAAGAAGGCTGTTAGACTACCGTAATTGCTCTTACTTGAAAGTGATCTTGCCCTGGTAGTCTATGGTTTTTTGTATTTTCTTTTATTGCCCACCAAATAATCTAATCATTCTGAATTTAAAACCCACCCAAGTAACCGCTGTAAAAATTTGGACTTAGTCATGTAAACTAACTCCATGCCATAGTTTCATCATCAGTAAGATAATAGGGTTGAAATAGATAATCCCTAAAGACTCCTGTAACTTGAAACTTTGTTTATGTAACATTTTCTATTCAAGTGGGTTGATTTACTTAGATTTTGAATAAGTTCTTAACCTTTTTCTTGTGTAGAGATTAACAGAATTTACTAACAAATCAGTGTGCTAAAACAAAGAAAACCTGGTTGAGAACCACTGCTCTAGACAATGAATATAAAGCAGTTGTCAACTCAGAAGTTTAACCTCAAAGATCAGTATGACATTGGCTGACCATCCTGTGGTATGTTGGGAGATTTAAACACCACCACCAACAGTGACTTGTCTCTTGAGAATTTTGTGTCATTTGGGATATTTTACCAATACCATGAGTGATTTTTCATAGTAATGATGTTAAAAAGTATTCTTTAAGTGTTAGGTCAATTTTTTAAACGTTTTTTTAGGCTTATTGAAAAGATGCAAAAATAGTATCTGTCAGCCAGCTTCCCCCAAGGTTAACATCTTATGTAACCATAGTTCAATTAGCAAAAACAAGAGATTAACATTGGTACAATACATTTGACATTGATTAACTAAACTACAGACGTTACTCCATCACCAGTCTTTCCATTAATGTTCTTTGTCCATTCTAGAATCCAACACAGGATTCCACGTTGCATTTAATTGTCATGTCTCCTTAGTCTGCTCAGTCTGTGACTGTTGCTCAATCTTCCCTTGTTTTTGATGACCTTAGTACTTTTGAAAAGGATTTACTTGTTAGTTTACCTTGTAGACTGCCCTTAATTTGGCCTAAACTGATGTTTTCTCATTATTAGATTGAGATTATACAATTTTTGCAAGAATACCACAATACAGATGTGCCCTTCTAGGCTCATCACTTCAGGGGTACATGATGTCACTTACTACTGGTGGTGTTAATCTTGATCACTTAGTTAAGGTGGTATCTGCCAAGTTTCTGCACTATAAAGTTAACAATTTTTTTTTTCCTTTTGTAATTAACACTAATCTTTGGAGAGATACCTTGAAATTATGTAGATACCTGGTTTCTCCTCAAACTTTTGCTCAGTAATCTTAACATTTTGAAGTGTTGTAATGTTAGGAACTTGATTACAGTAATGCTGTGTTACTGTTGTCGGTTATGCACATTGGTTCATTTGAAGCATTATTATTTTAGCTGTTGATTAAGAATTTTTAAATCTTGGGGCACCTGGGTGGCTTAGTCAGTTAAGTGGCTGCCTTCGGCTCAGGTCATGATCCCAGGGTCCTGGGATCGAGTCCCGCATTGGGCTCCCTGCTCAGCGGAGAGCGTGCGTCTCCCTCTCCCTCTGCCTACCTCTCTGCCTACTTGTGCTCTCTCTATATCTCTCTGTCAAATAAATAAATAAAATCTTAAAAAAAAAAAGAATTTTTAAATCTTGAAAATAATGAACTCATTTTTTTTTTTTTTTACCAGCTGTGCACAAAGTATAGCTTTCTAATTTTAATACACCCTTTGAAAAGCCATAGTCACTTTTATATATCACCGACAGGAGTGGAACTTAGTTGGAAATGACTTGTCAACTCAAAAACCTTAAAAGTTCTCATGCTTTTGGACTTAGTAATTTACTTGCAGGAATTTGTCCAGATTTAATTGAATTTGTCCCATTCAGTTAAAGATTGAATTTCAAAAATTCAAATACTGGAATTTAAGAATTATTTAAAATTGAAAGTTGGAAATTTTTTATT